CTCGAAGATGAGTCGTACTCTATTTTGAATGCTTATGAAAATGCCTTTTTTTTGTGGGGTCTAAATTTTATTGCTTATTTCATCCTTTCGTGAATTTTTAGTGATGGAATGTCTTCTAGTCAGCGTATGTGACAGAACTAGTAAGTCATGCGAACCTAGATCGGCTTGCACATGCTACTGAGTTTCGTAGAACTTCTAAATAGGAATTTTCGCTAAGGGTCGTAGCATTTACGACCTTAGATCGGCCTGCGTATGTAGCAGGATTTTGTAAGATTCCTTAGGAGGAATGTCCACTAAGGGTAACACATACAACCTTTGATTGGCCTGCGTAAGTAGCAGGACTTTGTAAGATTCCTTAAGAGGAATGTTCACTAAGGGTCGCAGCACTTACAACATTAGATCGGCCTACGTATGGAGCAGAGCTTTGTAAGATTCCTTAGGAGGAATGTCCACTAAAGGTAACACGTACAGTCTTAAATCGGCCTGCGTATGTAGCAGGGCTTTGTAAGATTCCTTAGGAGGAATGTCCACTAAGGGTCGCAACACTTACGACCTTAGATCGGCCTGCGTATGTAGCAGGGCTTTGTAAGATTCCTTAGGAAGAATGTCTACTAAAGGTAACACGTACAGCCTTAGAGTGGTCTGCGTATGTAGCAGGGCTTTGTAAGATTTCTTAGGAGGAATGTCCACTAAGGGTCACAGCACTTACGACCTTAGATCGGCCTGCGTATGGAGCAGGGCTTTGTAAGATTTCTTAGGAGAAATGTCCACTAAGGATAACAAATACAGTCTTAGATCGGCCTGCGTATGTAACAAGGTTTTGTAAGATTCCTTAGGAGGAATGTCCACTAAGGATGACACGTACAGCCTTAGATCGGCCTGCGTATGTAGCAGGGCTTTGTAAGATTCCTTAAGAGAAATGTCCTCTAAGGGTAACATGTACAGCCTTAGATCAACCTACGTAAGTAGCAAGGCTTTGTAAGATTCCTTAGGAGGAATGTTCACTAAGGGTCGTAGCACTTATGACCTTAGATCGACCTGCGTATGGAAAAGGGCTTTGTAAGATTCTTTAGGAGAAATGTCCACTAAGGGTAACACGTACAGCCTTAGATCGGCCCGCGTATGTAGCAAGGCTTTTTAAGATTCCTTAGGAGGATGTCCACTAAGGGTCGCAGCACTTACACTCTTAGATCGGCCTACGTATAGAGCAGGGCTTTGTAAGATTCTTTAGTACTCTAAACAAAATGTTCAAAAATAGGAAGTCCCTTTTCATTGGTGTAATTGACATTACAAGTGGGCTTTATATGCCACGGATTTTTCCCGTTTATTGATAATACTACTTGAGGTGTTCGGCATTCCAAGGATGGGGTAAGGGTCTACCCTCCAAGTCTTTCATCTCATATCCCCCTTTTAACAGGACCTTCGTTATCAGATAGGGGCCTTCCCAATTCGGCCCCAAGCATCCATTGCCTACCTCTCTTGTAGGGACAAATACTTTTCGTAATACGAGGGATCCTACTTCGAATTCTCTTTTTCGGACTTTTTGATTGTAGTACTTGGCGTTCCGCTGCTTGTAAAAGGCATTTTTAAGTTCGACATTGTTTCTTTTCTCCTCGGTAAGGTCGAGTTCCGTACGAAGAGCCATGTGATTCCTTTCTTCGTCGTAATCAGTTATGCGCATTGAGGGAATGCTGACTTCTAGTGGGATCACAGCCTCTACACTGAAAGCCAGTGAGAATGGAGTTTCTCCCGTGCTAGTCCTTGCAGTGGTGCGATAAGACCATAGCACACTGGAGAGTTCGTCGGCCCATCCTCCTTTAAACAAGTCAAGTTTTGCTTTCAATGTATGCTTAATAATTTTGTTAATGGCTTCGACTTGGCCGTTTACCTGCGGATGGTTCGGAGTTGAGAAATATTTCTTGATGCTGAACTCTTCACAGAAATCTGAAAGTCGTGCGTTGTCGAACTGTTTTCTATTATTCATAACAATGGAGTGAGGTATACCGAACTTGCAGATGATTGATTTCCACAAAAAGTCGGTTGTTTTATGTTTGGTGATCTTGGCAAGTGGCTCTGCCTCGGCCCATTTGGTGAAGTAATCAACTACGATGATGGCGAATTTTACACCTCCTTTTCCAACGGGCATATGTCCAATTAGGTCGACCCTCCATTTCCCAAAGGGCCAAGGTGCTATTACTGGGTCAACTCAAGCGGTGGAGCGTTTATGATGGGGGTGAGGCGCTGACATTTGTCGTATCTTTTGACAAATTCAAGGGAATCACGTCTTATTGCAGGCCAGAAGTATCCTTGTCGTATGATCTTGTAGGCTAGTGAGAGCCCATCTGAATGGTTTCCACATATTCCTTCGTGAACGTCTTGCAAGGTATGCTGAGCTTCTTCTTCATTTAAACACCTTAACAAAGGTATAGAATATCCCCGTTTGTATAGTACATTGTCAATGAGTGTATACCTGGCCGACCTGATTTGAAGCTTTCTAGCTTTTGCAAAATTTTTGGACATTTCCCGATTTTTAAGTAGGTGACGATCTTATCCTGCCAGGTTGATTTGGGGTCTATCATCATATGGACCACTTTGTCCAACTCGGTAGACGGTAGGGATATTCTTCCCACGGGGATGCTATCGAATTCTTCAATTCCCTCACCGGTGGCTAGGTGGGCCAATGCATCGACGTGGCCATTCGGAGATCGGGAAATCTGTTTGACTTGGGTGGTGTTGAACCTTTCAAGTTCTTTCCTTACAACCCCTAGGTAATTGTCCATTCTTTCTTCTTTCGCCAGATATACACCGTTGACCTAATTCATGACTAGTTAGAAGTCGCTATGTATGATTAGGTCGGAGATCCCCAACCTTGAGGCCATCCTTATTCTGACAATGAGAGCTTCGTACTCGACCTCATTGTTTGAAGCTTTAAAGTCAAATGGCAAGGCTTTGCAGAATATACGTTGTTCAGGGCTGATTAATACTACGCCAGCCCCAGATCGTTCTCCGGTGCATGAACCATCGAATAAAGTTCCCATGGGGTTTCTTTCGGTAGTTCCTCGATTGGAACGTTGCAGACTCAGAGACAAAGTCGGCGAGCGATTGGCTCTTGATGGAGGAACGAGGCATGTATTTGACGTCGAATTGTCCGAGATTGACTGCCCATTTTGCCATCCAACCTGAAGTGTTGGGTCTTTGCAGTGTTTGTCTCAATGGATAATTGGTGAGGACCTCAATAGGGTATTCCAAGAAATATGGCCTCAGTTTTTGTGCTGACATCAGCAGGATGAATGTCAACTTCGCTACAGGTAAATATCTGAGCTCATTTTGGTGAAGCGCTTTGCTTACGTAATAGACTGGGTGTTGAACGCCGTTCTCTTCTTGGGTCAGAACTGCACTAATGGCATGTTCTGAAACAGATAAATATAGCTTCAGGACCTCGCTTACCTTAGGTTTTGAAAGCGACAGAGGCTGAGCTAGTTGTCTTTCTAACTCGTTAAAGGCGTCCTGGCATTCTTTGGTCCATTCAAACTTCTTTCCTCATCGTAATGTGTCAAAGAAGGGTTTACATCGGTTCGTAGACTTAGAGACGAACCGGCTGAGGGCAGCAATCCTTTTGATCAAACTTTGTACCTCTCTGGGTCTGGTTGGAGGCTTCATTTGGATAACAGCTTGTATTTTTTCAGGATTTGCCTCTATTCCTCACTTGTTTACAATGTAACCTAGGAACCTTCCAGAGCTGACCCGATAGAACTGGATAGTACTATAGACAAGATATTAATCGTTCTTTTTTAATAATGTCCATACTACAGAACTTTATCTACCAAACAAGCTATTAAAGTTCAAGCTTGTAGGAAACTGAGCAGATATTTTGGAGTTTGGACACCTTAAAAATATGAATTATATCCAATTTTGTATCCGAATATCATATCATAAGAGGGCATTAGGGTGGGTTTTAAAGACCACATAGTGGGGAGAAGGAGGCTTTGAAAAATCTATGCATTTTGGGATTGGCAATAAGCATTTAGAAGGGGAAAAATAAACTTACATATTTTAAAATTATAGTCTTGTTGACTTGGTCATTAAAGACTTGTTTCCACAAATAAACATTTTCATCCGTCCTTGGAGCATAGCACTAAGTGGATTCACAAGATTGATGTTTCCACAAGATATAAAACTAGAAATAAACATTTCTCTCTCATATATATATATATATATATTGAAGACTTGTCATTCGAATTTTTAATAAATAAATATATAGTCTACAAGATTATTTGATAATCTTACAACTTCGATAGAGGCGCACTAACTGTAAGTGAAATAACAATTATTCGGCCAATTGCTATTCATTATTTACTGAAAAAGGGAAATGAGGTGCGAGGATGGTACGGAAGACTGGTCGGTTCCAAAAAGCTGAGTTTTTCGATTCGCTCCCCATTTGTGGTTGACATTCTTGCCAGTCTTCCTCATTTCTCTTTATCTTATATCTTGGTTGATAATTGTTCAAGAATTCATAAATAATGACTTTGCTAGGTTTTTGAGGGCTACTCTTCTTTTTTGTCGATCGAGTTGCTCTCCCTCATTTCACTCGTCCGGCTATTTAGTGCAATCATTTTATTTTTTATTTTGAAAAACTCAGGTAGATTAAGGAATAAAATTTGGTATCATCATTGTTTAATATGTTCCAAATCTCTACAATGAAAAAAAAAATATCACTAGGAGATTTTATTTGTTGATATCATTTAGGCGGTCTGTAGACTTTTGTTGTTCTTCATCGTGCTTTCGAACCGATAGGTTTAATGTTACATCGATTCAAGTTTGTTCAATCTCTTCGGTTGTGACCTTATAATACAAAGTGAACTATTACTACTACAAGGATTAATATGTTACAAACTAAAAGTTGAGAAGTCATAAACGCAATTGGTCTAGGACTTGCGTTACAATTTTTTGTAATACTAATTCAAATAAATAAAAACTTGATACTTGCCAATTCTGGTTTTCCTTCGCCAAAAAAGGAAAAATAATAAATAAAAAATCTACCCTTTATATTCAAATATCTTCTCTCGCAGATCTGACCTGTAAGAAGTGTAAGTACTCTCTCTTTCTCTCCCTCCCTCTATTTTCGCTCTCTAAATTTTTTAAAATAATTTACATTACATGCCTGTTTGTTTAACTGCTTTTGTTTGCAGATCTATATTTTGATTCTGATTTTTATATGGAAAATTTTTTTTTGACTGCGACATTAATCAGTGGTTTCCGTTTTTTGCTGTTTGTTTATTCATTTAATTGCTATCAATGATCTGGTAAACGTGTAGATCAGTTTAGTGTTAAATAGTATTTTATTTTTTTTGTTATTTTCGAGTTTTTGATGTGATAAGTTCATTTTTGTGTTTGTGTGTGTATTTATTATTATTATTATTATTTTATTTTTTGGGAAAATTATGCACTGATTCTCTGTTTAGATAAGTGAAATTACTGGAGGAGTGGGTAGCGGGAAAGAGTAAAATGGAAAAAAGAAGAATAAGATTCCTTAATTATCATATTCAGTCACATCAAATTACAACTAAACTTTATTCATTTCTCTATCTATTTTCCATTACGTCCAAGAAACGATGTGGTGAGCTGGTGGATCACTTTGTTGCTAAATGGTAAATTACCGTTACTTTGAGCTCTGATATGACTGGTAGATTGCATCGTCATATTTTGAAAATGACTACAAATTCTCTGTTTAGTTAGTAAATTGCTGTAGGAATGAGTAGTGGAATTTTATTTTACTTTTTAAAAAAAGAAAAAGATTCCTTTAATTTTCATGTTCAGATACTTTACGTCAAATTAGAAGTAAATTATATTCATTTGTCTACCTTTTTTTATCATAACCAAGTAAATAGAGACACTTTCAATTTCTTTCTTCAAATTAAGTTTCTTTCTTGTTTTTGTGACAACTGAAATAGAGTTGTGCAACTCAAACGGAATCGAGCCCTCGGTAATCTTTTTTACAAAATTTGGTGCAGTTACAAAAGTTGAATCTAAGAATTTAGAGACAATGGGTCGTGGAGTCAGCAGCGGCGGTGGGGAGAGTTCTCTTGGTTACCTTTTTGGAGGAGGAGAGGCTTCACAAGTTCCAGATCCGAAAACAGCTGCAAACAACGGGGAAACTCCTTTGCAAAACCAGGCTCCAGTGAGAAGCAATGCAGCACCAGAGAAGCCTTCTATTGTTGCACCACCTGCTGACTCTAATAAACAAATTCCTGCTGGGATTCAGGGAAGCCAAAAGAATAACTATTTCCGAGCTGATGGCCAGAACGCTGGAAACTTCCTTACGGTATGTCTATGATATTCGTCATATTTCTATGTATTTTTGTCAGTCATTGACTTGTTTAAACGTAATCTGTGCCCATGTGGGTGTGTTTATAATTGTATTTGCGAATGTGTTTTAACACAAACTTGCATGTGCAAATGGTGAAGAGGGTGATACAGTGTTAATGAGATCTTCAGTCAATGTCCTGTATCAATATTGTTATGAAACATTTGTTGTATTGAGATTGCTGCTCACTCTTGAAGACGATGATGATTTAAAATGCATGTCTTTCCCTGCTTCTCCTACCTCTTTATTGTGCGTTACATTTGAAGGGTGGTTGCTTGATGATAATGACATGGTTATCTTGAACCGTTAGTAAAGCGGGAGAGCACAAGACTGATTAGCCATTGTTTGATTTTGATATTTTGAACTCATTCACAAGTTGAATTGAATCTTATATCTTGTTTTCCCTATTTATTGTTACTATCGATTCCTAACAACAAACAGTGGTAGTGGCACATATTGAGGATAAATTAAGGGAATGATAGCTTATTTGGTTAGGGCATATTTTGCATAGACTTAAAAGAGATTGACGACCGTAATGCGATCTCAGTAGAATGAGTTAGAAGAAAGAGAGGTAGATCAAAACTAACATGGCATGTTGTCGAGGATCTAGCTGCATTAAGTCTTCCAGTTTTTTGCTGATGGAAGGGAATAGCGAAAACAATTCCTGTAGCCGACACCAAATTAGTCTGGAACAAGGCTAAAGCTTTGTTATTGTTTTAAGACCAGTTCCTCTTTTATTTCCAGTGACATTCTGTGGATATTTCTTTGACCAATTGCATGTCTATCTCACGTACAATAGTCATAGTGGTGATGGTATCACAGCATATTGTGTGTTACATACATGTACATGTAGTTTATATCGTGACTCATTTTCATTAAAAATGATTCATGGGCTTCTTTTCTTTTACAGGATAGACCATCTACTAAAGTCCATTCTGCTCCTGGTGGTGGATCTTCCCTGGGGTACCTTTTTGGAGGCGGTAGCAACTAATGCCTACTCTTCATCGAATTCAAAAGGTGGAATCACTGTTTACTGTTTCTCTAGAAACTGTTCCAGTTTGGGGTTGAAAATGTTTACATAATGAATCTGTAATATGTTCTGAATTGGAATGACATCTTGCAATGAAGAAATCTTGTTCTTGCAACTGTTAATGCTGTTTACATATCTGAATGCAATTACATGCTATGATAAATTTTCAACTGTTAAGGATAGTTTCCAATCTGAGCATAGGGCTAGAAGGTCGCTTCACTCCGAACTGTGGGATTAGTTTGGGATGATCTCTACTCTGTTTTTCCCGAAGAAACAACTTTCTCGTATTATTGTACGACTCAAATGATCTACAAAAGCCATGTAATCCATCTTTATTAGGGTCGGGCCTGACTCAAATGATCTACAAAAGCCATGTAATCCATCTTTATTAGGGTCGGGCCTGACTCAAATGATCTACAAAAGCCATGTAATCCATCTTTATTAGGGTCGGGCCTGACTCAAATGATCTACAAAAGCCATGTAATCCATCTTTATTAGGGTCGGGCCATACCAGGCCCAACCCACAAGTGACGTGGGCCACCTAGCCATTAACTCAACAAACACCAGAGCATTTTTTTTTATTTTTTTTATTTTTTTTGGGAAAAAAATCATAACTAAAAGTATCATCCATTTCAAAAATGAGAACAAAAGTTTCAAATTTAAAAAATCAAAATTTTATTAAAATTTATTAATGATTTAATTAATTAATTATATATTTAATTAATTAAATATATTAAGTTCACAGATTTATATAGTTTGATTACAAGTTAGGGTTCGTTTGTGGTAAGAATGGAATTTGGGTGGAAAAAAAATGAATTTTAGGAAATTGAATTGTGTAGAATTTGTTTTATTGAGAATTGTCAATTAAATTTTTTTGTTGGTAAAATTTTTCACCTGAAAAATAAAATGTTGTATCTTTTGGTATTCGTTTGATTTTTATTATTTTTTAATTGTCAATTAAATAGATATAATTTCTTACATTTTTAAATATAATTTGTTTCAACTGCCAAAAATTTATAAAAAAAGAAAGGAAAAAAGAAAGAAGAAGCTGGAAATCACTTTTCCACCAAAGCCAAAGGAAAACAATTTCCTTGAAAACTAAGAAAAAAGGATCACGTGGAGGGTCGGGTGAAAACCAAATTCCATGGAAAATGTTGTGCATCAAACAAGACAAAGTGAGCGGAAAATGGAAATTTTCCATGGAATTGGCTTGTATCAAATGAGGAAATAAGTGAAAATGGTCATTTGACTCACCTTATTTCCACTTTGGCCTTTGACTGATTTAAAAAAAAACGAAAATACAATTTAAAGACACTTTTCCAAAATACCTCTCTCTCTCTCTCTCTCTCTCTCTCTCTCGATGGTTTGGAGACAAGAAATTAGATTCGCTGACAGTCGACCGTCCAGACATCTCCCTCACCAAAGAACTTTCGATCGCCGACTGTTAATAGTTGTAAATGTTACTTTTTGTGGAATTATAATTAGATTATTGAGTTTTGTTGAGTTTTAATTAGATTATTGGTTGGAATATGATTTTTGTGGTATGAAGACATGATTTATGCTAGATCTGCATATAGATGAAGTGTATTGACCAATTTTTGTTGTTTGGGGAGATCCAACTCGCTGGAAATTGTGGAATTCGGCGAGTGGAGATGAAGAGGTTGTAGCCAATCGACTAACAGTCGGCCGGCTGTCAACCGTTGGCTGTTAACAGTCGGGTTCACATTCGTTTTTTTTAATATTAAATTTTCTAAATTAATTTAAATCATTAAATGTTTGGAATTGTTAATTACATATTCTTTTTCTTGATCAAATTTAAAGGAGTTTGTTATTCTAAAATTATTTTTTTAATTCTAATTTTAACTCTTTATTTGAAATTAAATTTTTAGTTTTATTTTAAATTTAAATTTAAATTTTCATTTAAATTTTAAATTTAATTTAAAGAAATTTGTTAATTTAGAATTTATTTTCAAATTAATTATTTAATCCAAATTTTGACTTTTTAATTTTAATTTAATTTTAAATTGAAATTTTCATTTTAGTTATAATTTTAATTTAAAGAAATTTGTTATTTTAAAATTAATTTTCAAATTACTTTTTTAATTCTAATTTCAACTTTTTATGTTAAATTTAATTGTAACTGTAATTTTATTTTAAATTTACATTTTTTTTAATTATAATTTTGATGTAAAGAAATTTTTTATTCTAAAATAAATTTCTAAATAAATTTTTAATTCTAATTTTAAATTTTTATTTTATTTTAATTTTAGTTTTTTATTTTATTTTATTTTAAATTTAAATTTTCATTTTAGTTATAACTTTAATTTAAAGATATTTGTTATTGTAAAATTAATTTTCAAATTACATTATTAATTCTAATTTCAAATTTTTATTTTAAATTTAATTGTAATGGTAATTTTATTTTAAATTTAAATTTTCATTATATATAATTTTAATTTAATGAAATTTGTTATTAAAATTAATTTTCAAATTACTTTTGTAATTCTAATTTCACCTTTTTATGTTAAATTTAATTGTAATTGTAATTTTATTTTAAATTTACATTTTTTAATTATAATTTTAATGAAAAGAAATTTGTTATTTTAAAATTAATTTCAAATTAAATTTTTAATTCTAATTTTAAAGTTTTATTTTTATTTAATTTTAATTTTTTTTAATTTTATTTTAAATTTAAATTTTCATTTTAGTTATAATTTTAATGTAAAGATATTTGTGATTTTAAAATTACTTTTGAAATTACTTTTTTAATTTAAAATTTTTATTTTAAATTTAATTGTAATGGTAATTTTATTTTAAATTTAACTTTTTATTTTATATAATTTTAATTTGAAGAAATTTGTTATTTTAAAATTAATTTTCAAATTACTTTTTTAATTCTAATTTTAACTTTTTATTTTAAATTTATTCGTAATTGTAATTTTAATTTCCATTTTATTTTGTTATTTTGTTATTTTAATTTTAATTTTTATGATAATTATTAATTTTCGATAATACGATTAAAAATTCGGTTCACTTAATTTTGGGTTATTATGCTTCATTCCATTATTTCATGTACAATGTTCTAATATTCTGTTTCAATTTTTGCAGGATGAATTATCATCTGGATGGAGAGCTGAGACAGATGTCAGGCAAAATTACATAGAACAGTAACTTTGACAGCTTCACCTAGATCCTGGAGCTGCTGGACGACCAACATGCAAATATGTTGCGTCAGTCCTTTCTGTGGCCTCTATACCCTATGAGAGAGTTGCAGTATTCGAGTCAGATGATCGATGCTCTTTTATGTCGGCTGCTGAGTCCAGTTGACGGCGATGCCCTCCACTTCGACCTCGGGGGCAAAGTTGCTAGCTTTTCCATGTTTGAATTTGCCCTACTGATTGGATTGAAGATTACGGGCGATGAAACAGCTAGCGGCGAGACGCAGGGAAGAAATAGACTGCAGGACACTTACTTCCAGGGACAGGGATGGTGGTTTTGCCTCAGCTGATGGACGCGATCAGGAGGTGTGACGAGATGTTGGACAGACTAAAATTAGGTCTGGTCTATATCATTGAGAGTGTGATGCGGTGTCACCACAAGAAGACTGCGATCAGCCTCTTCCATCTCGAGATCATCGACGACATAGATCGCTTCAACAGCTATCCGTGGGGCCGCCGATGTTTCGAGAACACCATCCACATCTTCACTAGACTGCACTCGAAACCCAATGGGCCCGTGCGTAAGTACGACACATACGGATTCCCCTTGGTGCTGCAGGTAAATGATTAATACAATCAATGTTAAAATATTTTTTCTATTGAATTTGTATGTACTAATTTATGTGTTGAAGGTCTAGGCGTATGAGACCATCCCCATATTAGGTACCCGCTTTGCGCGGTGAGAGGAAACACGCTATCCTCGGATGCACCATTGGCGAGCATCTCAAGCGGAAGGATGTCCCACTGGAAAACAATTATCGGCTCTCCTCGACGACCCTCATGTGAGTATTATAAATTTCTGATTTATATTGTACATAGTTTAACATTACATGATTTTATCTTTTTAAAATATCAACATGTCAACTCGAAGTAATAACTCATTTGATGCCGTCGATGGAGGAGGAGGCGCAGGGTCCCGTGCGTGAAGTAGCGGTTCCACATGCCCAAGACGACCAGATGTTCGATTCGATCCCCGATCGAGACTGGGCAATTGAATTATTGATTAATATTTTGTATGAGTTCCCAAATTATTGAATAAGTTAATAATATGTAAGTTTGTGCAGGACCGCAAGCCAGTTGATCGGGCATCACGTCTGCAGGCGGCATTACCTCCGCCGCCGACGTCACTTCCTCCACCTCAGGGTGATTATTCTGATGATCTGTACCATCGCCTGATTGGATTTATGGTGCAGGAGGTCGGCGCGCTGCGTCGAGAGCTGATAGGAGTTATATCAGAGGAAGTCGACGCACTGCGTCGAGATATGGTGGAGCGGGTCGACGATCTGGGACGTCAATTGGTAGGGAGGGTCGAGGATATAGCTGATGATGTTAGAGTGCTGCGCGGGAATTTAGGGGACCTTCATGATGAGGTGATAGTACTTCGAGGTGATATAGTAAGTAGACGATGGGTTGATAGAGGTGACGACCAGGAGAGTGATTGAGAGGATAGAGATGGGGGTCACCCATAGTCGTGGTCAGAGGATGCATGGGACTCCTTTCTTCAGTCCATGGAGGATAGGGTGGCCCCGAGGGCGGAGGAGATGATGGCCCCGTTGGGGACGGGAGCGACGGTCGAGGAGTTGGTGCCGACGATGACGGATGAAGGGGTCGAGGAGGTGGTGTTGACGCCGGTGGATAAGGTGGTGGGCCCCTCAGGAATGGGAGCTATGGTCGAGGAGGTGGTGACAACGGGGACGGAGGAGGAGGAGGAGGTGGCGATCGTCAGGGCGGAGGAGGGGACGATGCCCGAGGTAGGCAAAGGGAGGACAACGGTCGTGACTGGGGCGAAAAAGTGTGTTGTTGACTTGCTGGAACTGGTGATAGGCAAGAGGTCGAGAGTGTCGTCACTGTACATTGTCTTTCCCTTCACGACTGAGACGAAGAGGAGGAGGTTCGTCGATGGGACGATCCCCAACCTATTTCGGGAGGTGGACCATGTCAAGTG